GCAAGATGAATAAGGTCTGGTCCACGTCCTCAAGGAGCTGCCTGAGTAGTGGAGGGAACGGACATTTATACCTTATCTATAGTCAGGGCCACTGCAATCAGCTGACATTCGAGGAACACTTGTCATGTGTCAGGTCACATGCATGAACTTTTATATTTAATCTTCACAGCAGTCCTATGGTGTCAGTACTGTTATTATTATCTCCGTTTTTTCAGGAGGAAACAGCTGGTGGAGGTTAGGCAGCTCATGAAGGTTGTACAGAGCAGTGGCAGAGCGGGGATGGTGACCCAGGCGGTTTGATCCTTAACCACGTAACTAGGCAGAGTATAAAGGAACTCAACAGAAGGAGGATTCATGGTCATTTGTAGGGATTTGGAAAACTCTATGCAGGTGGTGACATTTTTTCTGAGCCTTGAACGGGGCATGGTGGGGAGGGGCACTCTAGACTGTGGACACAGCAGAGGCAGCGGCGTGGCAGGGAGCTGGTGAGGCTGATCCAAGAGGGGCGCAGTGGGAGACGAGGCTGGAAAAGGGCTCCTCCTCAAAAGGGTTGGAAGGAAGCCGTCTCATGGGCCTGAGAGTATTCCCAGCAGAAAGGCTTGAATTATAGAAGACTTGGACCTGGGATGATGGGTCTTCCCATGATTATTTTTAAAAATCCAAATTTGGGAATTCCCTGGTGGTCTGGTGGTTAACACTCCATGCTCCCAGTGCAGGGGACCCAGGTTCAATCCCTGGTCAGGGAAGTAGATCCCGCATGCCACAACTCAGTGCCCACATGCTGCAGCTAAGACCCGGTGAGCCAAATAAATAAATATTTTTAAAAAGCCTATTTTTTCTTGTGAAGAAAGAACTGGACAGGTGCGACGGGGAGTAAGGCATGTGAATTCCTGTCTGGATAATTAGTACTCGATGGCTTGATTCGCATGGCAGGCAGAGGAACTGGGAAAGGCTTTTTTAAAAGCAGAATTGAAAACTGCTTACAAATGTCCATGGAGAGTTCCAGACCATGGATTCTGAAAACTAAAGTATTTCCAGAGAGGCTAAGGGAGGGGCCAGAGTTAATTTAAGCAGAGATTGATGATAGTTTGTTTGACAGAAGGCACCCATCTGTACTCAGGTGTTGGGGGTACTTTAAATCTTGCTCCAAATGAGATTTTATTTTAAATTTAAGGGACAAAAGAAAGGAGTTTGATAAGCATTTGTATCATTGTTTTAATGTTGCTGCTTTATGAAAAAAAATCTAATTACAAATAGAAATGTGTGAGTTGTGGTAGCCCCTGAGGAATAAGCCACCCCTCTGACTTATGCTCTTTGGGGGTGTCTACTTGATTTGGGGAATGGTGGCCAAAGAGAAATTAACCAGCCCCTCCAGGGCACAGTCCCCTCGCCAATGCCACGCCCATATCAGGAAGAGAAAATGGGTAGGATGGGGGGTGGGGGAAGAGAGTCTGAGTGAGGGAGGCGTGGGACTGGGGAGAAGCCTGCCCTGCACATGGGTGGGAATCAACAGCCCCTCCCCCCCACCCCGCCAGTGGGAGAAACTTTAGGTTCTGCAAAGTGCTTTTATTTTCTGTGATCACAACTTTCCTGTAGAATAGGAACAGCATCCACAAAGTGGCATTATCCTCGTTGTGCAGGCAACGTGAATCCCGGAGAAGTGATGTGGTCTCTCCAGGTGGTGCAGGAATGACCCCCAACGTCAGGGAGAGGGATGTGGGTGCAGGTGTCTGAGCAGAGGACTCATGACTGACAGAAGTGGTATGTGATCCAACCCTATCTGGATTGTGGGAGGGAAGGAGTCAGGCAGGGACTGAAGCCTGGGGGAGCTTCCTCATTCCAGTGTCTTTCTCATGCCCCTCACCCGCCCTGGGCACCCGCCTGCACCCAGTGGACAGACAACCCCCTTCCTCCAGGGGACTGTGCCCGACTGCCCACGCAGAACCATTATATCATACCATTTGCAACCAAGCTCCCTGTCTCCACATGCATCGTTCTCATTTTTCTTTTTTAAAACATCAGAATGAAATTTTATTTTAAAAAAATCAATACCCATGACATAACCCACGGCAGATAAATCAGAGAAGCTTATGTTTCACGGTCTGAGTGCCTTTTGCAAGGATTCCCCAGTGTCCCTTCCACTCCCTTGCCAGAAACTTTCTGTCATGGGGTCTCCGATGAAGCCAGCCCCACCCTCCGGTCTTGCCAGCAGCTTTGCTCAGCAAGTTTTCTCTCCTCTCATTATACCTCTGTTCCCCAACCTGGCTGATTCCCCCCAGCCCCAGGCAGGCCAGCCTCCTACAGACTCACGCCCCTCAGCCTCAGTTCACCAGCCTCTCCAGCAGTCCCGCCCATCACTTCCTTCAACACCCGCTGTGGTGTCACCTCCTCCAAGAAGCAGGCACTTTGGAGTCAACAGCCTCTGGTCTCCTCTCACTCCTGTGTGATCTTGGGTCCACAGCATAACCTCCCTGAACCTCAGTTACCTCAAGGGTAAAAATGTGGATACCGGCACCTCTTTCATGGTATTTTTGAGCTAAGAAAATTACCTAGGGTATGTAACAGCCCTTAGCACGTGCTCAGCACTAGTAAGCTCTCTGTAACACCTGATTCCTTTCTCTGGCCCTATCTGCGCCCTGCTCCTTCATCCCACCTCTCTGGGCACTTAAATGCCAGAGTTTATCCTGGGAACAAGCATCCTACCCTTTTCCCCTCGGTTTGGTGCATCCACGGTGGTGGGCATCGAGCTCCCCTCTAGATGGTCAGAGCTGGAATTCTGTCTGTCATGAGCACACAGTGCCTGCCCTAGGGAGATGGGACCAGAAAGGCAGAGGAAGGAAAGGAGGGAGAAGGGAAGGGAAAGAAGGAAGGGGGAAAGGCAAAAGAAAGGAATAGAGGGAGGAGAAAGAAAGGATTCTTTCCTTTCCTCCTTGGGAGCAGGGAGGAAAGGAAGGAATCCTTTATTAGCAACAGACGTCTGGTGAATCCCACAGTGACTGGTACAGAACAGGGGCTTGAAGCACTTTGAATTGGATGGGTAGATGGATATGGTTAGATGGAGGGAAAGAAGAGAAGGAGGGAGGAGGGAGGTAGGAGGGAGGTGGGAAGGAGGAGGGAAGGAGGGAAGGAAGAGAGAAGGAGAGAATGTGGCATTAGTCTGTGTTCCCCTGGTCTGGAGCCCCCCTTCCTGTCCAGCTCTGCTCTCCCTTGAGGCAAGATGGGGCTTCCAGGTACGAGACCTTCGCTCCAGAGGCCCTGTGCTGCCCAGTAGAATCAGAAATGCCCCATGGCCAGATGCAGCAAGGGGCCAGGGACAGCAGCTGCCAGACACAGGCCTGGCTGGTGAAAGACACTTTCGCCTTCCTCCTCGGCTTTCCAACCAGCCCGCAGCTCTCTATCCTGGGACCGTACTGAGGGGCAGGCCTGTTTAGCATGCATGGGGGCCTCCGGCCTGGCTGTAGGTGGGGAGGGAAGCAGGCCAAGAGCCCTCTGGAGATACTGGGCTTGTAAAGGCCTGTCTGGATGGATGGATAGTCAGCCGCAGCATGTGCATGGCAGGCAGGGGCTGGGAGCCAGCCCAGGCCTCCGTGCAGGTGCCGGAGTCCGCGCTCACCTGGAAATCTCCAGGAGAACCCTTTTGCAACTGGATTCCATGGAACTCTTCAAGATGAGGAGAGGGAGGAAGGGAAATCCTTAGTCTCTAGCCCCTCCCCAGACGTTCACAACGAAGTGAGTACAGTAAAGGGTCTGAGGAGTCCCATAGCAAGGGAGACTGTTTAATTTGAACTCTTTGCTTCCCAAACCTTTTCCATCATGGAAACATTTTTTTCCCCCTGAGGGCACTGAATTTACATCTTGAAGATACTAGAGTTTGTAGGATGCAGTTTGGAAATGCTGAGGTGGCCTGGGGAATAGAATTTTGGCGCTGGACTTACTGAAAGGATCATTGAGGTCCCTCTGGAAAACTCCTACCTATCCATTGAAACCCACTTCAGATGCCCTCAGGTTCTCTGTGGTGTTTCTCTACTCCCCGCTCAGGGAGAATTAACCAGTGTGTGCCCCATGATGCTCACATACCACTTTACTCTGTTGCTTTTTTTTTTTTTTTTTTTTGCGGTACACGGGCCTCTCACTGTTGTGGCCTCTGCCGTTGCGGAGCACAGGCTCCGGATGCGCAGGCTCAGCAGCCATGGCTCATGGGCCCAGCCGCTCCGCGCCACATGGGATCCTCCCGGACCGGGGCACGAACCCGTGTCCCCTGCATCGGCAGGTGGACTCTCAACCACTGTGCCACCAGGGAAGCCCTGGAGTGGGTACTTTTTGTACTGATGCCTGGAGGTGGGAGCGGGGCACAACGGAAGTGCCAGAGGTAGTTTCCTTTTAGGGAGCTTAGCATCGAGTTACCCCAGACATGCCTCTGGACCTTTTCTAGGGCTCAGCAGCTGGGAGGGATCCTGCAGGGCCAGATGATCAGGTGTCAGCCTGGGGTAGGGCAGCAGGATGGGGTGAGGGGAGGGGTATTAAGGGAAAGAGGACTGGGCTTCCAGAAGAGCCACGTGCCTTTGGTGAAGGAGTAGGGCAACAGGACACCCATGTCTCTGGAGGAATCTTACCCTCACACCCCCACTAGGATAACGCTGAGGCACGCATCCCACACAGGCTCCCCAGTTTCCTCCGTGGGATTAAGCTCCAGTCACCACAGGGGTTACTTGCTCAGCTTCCTTCCCTTCCATCTCACTTCCCCACTCCCCTACTAAAGCTTCTTGGGATCACCCCCCAAATAAACTACCTGCTCTAAATCCTTAGCCCAGGGTCTGCCTCTGGGAAAACCCACCCTAAGACAGTGTAAATTTTGCAATCTATCTGGAGGATGATTTGGCAATAATCAAAATTATGCATTTGGCAAGTATCAAAATTATAAATGCACATGTCCATGGGCCATGGACATGAAATTTATCCTGTAGATATACTCTTATAAATGCCAAAAGATTTATGAACAAGGTTATTTTTTGGCAGCACTGCTGATAAGAGCCAAAGGTGAGAAACATCTAGATGTCCATCACTGGGGACAAGATAAGTAGATCATGGTTCATCTAACACATGGAATATTATGCAACCAGGAAAAGGAATGAATGGGGACACTCTTTATGGGCTGATTTGGAACCATCTCCAAGATAAATTAAGTGGAAGAAAGCAAGGTACAGAAAATCATGTTTGTATGAAACAAAATCATGTTTGAAACAAAAAGAATATACAGCCATAATTGCTTGTTTATGTAGATAGACAGGCGATCTCTGTCAGGAAACTGATAACCGTGGAGCCTCTGGAAAGAGGAATTAGGAGGCTGAGAGCAGGGAAGGGAAGGAAATTTTCAGGCTATATCCTGTGCACCTTTTGATTTCTGCATCATGTGCAAGCTCTGTGGTAGCTATTAAAAAATATATATATATATATATATACACATACAACTTAAGAAGAATTGTAAAGAATGACCATATACCTGGATGCCTGATCACAGAGTTTTGCTATAATGATCAACCCAATTTTAGCTCGTCTCAGGAAAGTTGAACCCATGGCCAGCGGCGTTCAACCTTCCTTTTCTCATTTAGCTTTCCCATAAGGTGGTTCTTCATCATTAGTCCACGTTTCTAAATGAGGAAAGTAGGCCTGAGTCCAGTCTTCCCCCAAGATACCGAGAGTCCAAGCCGTCCTTCCCCTACCCCTTACCTGGGATGACAGAAGCTTGCTAAATCTTCCTGACACAGGGAAGTGTGCAGCCCTTCCTTTATTGAGCTATTTGCAATGCAGAGTGCCCTCTTTGGAGAGGATGAGGAGAGGCAGGGGGCTAGATAAAACGACCTCTCCACGTGGGCTCCTTGTGGGCAGACGCCATGTTCTATTTCTGTATTCCAGAGGCTTGGTGCAGCACTTGGTACATTTGTTGAGTGGATGGATGGATGGATGTCTTTTTGCCCCAGAATTCCAGGTATGGAGGAACAAAGGGGGAAAGGACCCCCTCCTTCCAGCTCCTAGGATCCTAGGTCAGTAAGCAGAGCTCTGGAGTTGAAAACATTCTGTTTAAAATTCCAGTTTTGCTCCTATGGCTGCCATGTGACCTTAGGTTGCTCTCTTCACCTGAGCCTCAGTTTCCTTATCTATGCAATGTGCAGTGGACACAGAGTCCTCCTCTGCAGAGGATTAAATAAGATTCTGTCCAGGTGCCCCCAGTGTGCCTGGCACAGAGTGGGCTCTGCCAGGTGTTTGCTCTCCCCGCCCCCCCTCATTTCGGCAGAAGAACAACCAGCACCAAGACCAGACGTTGTTGCCTCTGCCTGCGTCAATCACTCTCATGTCAAGGGGGTCCTCCTTCTGTCTAACTGACCCATCCTACTATAACCCAAGTCTGCAGCCTCCTGTACTGTGGTCCATGGGCAAGAGTGAAAGCTGTCAGCATGGTCCCCACAGGAGGCTTTTCCAGATCTGAAGGCACAAAGAAAGTCAAGGTTGAGTCTTGCTGACTGGGGGCGCAGCAGCCCCAGCCCCTCCTGCTTGGCCCGTCTGTTTTAACTTCTCTACTTCCTCCTGGGCTCAAGGACTCTTCGCACAAGGTCAGCTGAGGATTGCCCAGGGTTCCAGGGCACAGCGCCTGCCCCTTCTGCACCCCACTCCCTTCCCCTCCACCCAAGCAATCAGCAAAGAGCTCAGATCCCCAGAGCTAGGAGAGTGAACCCGGGCATGGAGCTGATGAGCTGCATTTTACAATAAATCTCCGCAATTAGACCCTTGCAAACATCTTCACTGTCGCTTCCCTGATATACGGCAGGGAATGAGCTTAATGTCCCTGGCAACCAATTCTTGGACTAAAAATAGTTAGCTTGTGGGCCCACCTTTCCTTGTTTAACATTCTATCTCTGCTGGGGCCATGGAGGGAGTGAGACTGGGGTCTGGGTCCTTCCCTGGAGCTGGGCCGGGTGTCAAGGGTTAACCCAGTTTTAACTAATGTAACTGCCAAGGAATTAGCCAGCAGGGCAGGGGCGGGGCCGCCTTCTTTGACAGAGGGGAGCCAGGCTGAGCTGTTTTATTTTAAGTGTGCAGGCTTTTTGAGCAGGCAGCTACCTTCCCAGAGGACTCGTTAGTTGGCCTTCTGAAATGCCACCTCTTCCTACACCCTCACACTCCCACGCACCCCCCAGCAGACGCCACCATTCAGTGGACCAAGAATGGGCTCTAACCCACTGTGTCACCTTGGCCTGGTGCCTTCTCTCCGGTTTGCTGTTTCCTCATTTGCAGAAGGAGGGATTAAATGAATCCATCTGTTTATGTATTGGATTTTCAGATACCGTGGACTCACGGTTTCCAGTATTTTGTCCCAAATGTCCTCACAAACATCAAGGCTCCTGAAATGCCAACACCTCAACGTGCAAACTCCCTCAGGGGCCATCAGGCAGATTGCACTAATTTTTCCCCTGGAGGGAGAAAAAAAAAAAACAACTTTAACATTACCTTTAAAGTCCTGTCCAGAGCTAAAAATTCTAAAATCCCTCTGTCTTAGAGCGACTTGCCAACAGTAAAACACCAACTATCCCCATAAAACAGCTTGTTCATGAAGTCTTATCAGTCAGTCACATCTTAGTATAAATCAGCCTATAAAGTCCTTTCCTGGAAGAGGAGGAGCATGGAGTCTTGGGGTCCCTCATGGGGCTGTTAGGATACTGAAAGCCTCGCCTGGCTCCCCACCACCCCATATGAGAAGCCCCCATGTGGAAGCCAGGGGCCTCCACCAGCTGTGGCCCCAGCCCACCTGTCTAACCTCAGGACCTCCCAGTCACGCTCTGCTCCAGTGTCACAGGACTCCCTGGAGTAGACCAAGCAGAGTCCCACCACTGGGCCTTTGTTCACAATGGTGCCTCTGCCTGGAATGCCATTTCCCCTTCTCCCCTCTGTCCCCACACCACATTTCTCGGTTGGTGGAAACCCTACCCATTTTTGAAAGTACAAATGCCTTTTGTGAAGGCATTCCCTGTCCCATGGCGAAAATGAGTCCCTCAGGGTCCCTCTTCTACCGGCATTTGGAACCATGCAGTATTAGAGAGAGAAGAGCCTTAGGGACCATCTACACCAGCATTTCCCAAAGTACTTTGACTGTGACCCATTATAAGAAATCCGCTCCATGTTGTGACTCAACACACACATAAAACATACATAAGTGCACATATGCACACAATGAATACATGCATACACTCAACTATAGACACATGTAAACACACACAGATACAAAATACACACATACCCATGTCTTTTTTTTCTTTTCTTTTTTTTTGGTTGCATTGGGTATTCGTTGCTGCATGCAGACTCTCTCTAGTCGTGGCAAGCGGGGGCTACTCTTTGTTGCAGTGCGCAGGCTTCTCATTGCGGTGGCTTCTCTTCTTTCGGCGCGTGGGCTGTAGGGCGCGCCAGTTTCAGTAGTTGCGGCTTGCAGGCTCTAGAGTGCAGGCTCAGTAGTTGTGGCGTGTGGGCTTAGTTGCTCTGCGGCATGTGGGATCTTCCCGGACCAGGGATCGAACCCGTGTCCCCTGCATTGGCAGGCAGATTCTTAACCCCTGTGCCACCAGGGAAGTCCCCTCATTTCTTTATGTACTACTTATCTCTACTATGTGCAATGGTCTGATTCTGATATAGTTGCTTTCCTTTTTTTTTTGAATCCTGGTTCTGACTCACTAAATTTATTTCACCATATTGTAATGGATTGCAAAACCACAGTTTAGAAAATGCCGACCTAGTTGAACTCCTTATTTTACAAATAGAATTACCAAAGTCCAGAGAGAGGAAGGGACAAGCTCGAGGTCACAGAGCTGGCTGGCGGCAAGACCCAGACCAGACTGCAGTTCTGTTGGCTTCACAGGGGCGACCTCTTCTCTCACACAGGTTGCAGCTGTTCCTGCAAGATTATAAATCCAGGAGGAAGAGGGCGGTGTCCCCAGCCACCCACCCAGCCCCTCCCCCTGTAAATGTCTCGTCCATAGCAGGTGCCTAATAAAGGGCTGCATTGGAATAATGATGAGAAAGTGTTTGGGAAGTCAACGACGGCCCTGCTGGAGCGAGGGGTTAATAAATGCAGCAGCCTCGGCTTAGAGACCAGGTCAGCTTTAGCTCATTAGTGGGACTGGGTTTCCCAGGATTTCGGAATGCTGAAATCCGCGGGGGGGAGCAGAAATCCCGCTGCTGAGTTGGGGTGGGGGCGGGGAAGCCAGGAGGGAAGGATGGAAGACGGGTGACGCCCCATGGGGAGGGGATGTTGGAGGGACGGTGGGCGGGGGCGCGGTGTCAGGGCGCGAGCGAGAGGGAATCTGAACAAGCTCCAGAGAGAATGGAACTCAGTCTCCTTCTGCCTCGTCTCCTCCTGTCATTCTGGGAGAAGTGGCTCAGCTCAGGAGGTCGGAGAGGCAAGGCAGGGATGTGGAGAGGGAGAGATGAGAGAAGGCGAAGACGCAGAAACGAGCAATTTGGGCACAGTTAATATCAGACGCGACGATGCTCAGGTAGTCACTTGAGGCTTCCCACAGCCCCTTCCCCCTCCACTGCCACCCGCCAGAGCTCAGCCACCCTTGGAACGGAGGTGCCAGTGGCTCATCCACCCACCAGAGCGCCCCCCTCCCCAAGTCCGTGGGCCTTGTGGGAGATCAGAGCTGGGGGCTGGGCAGCCTGGGAGGGACAACACTCATTCACGGACCACATGAGCCACGTTCTCGGCCTGAGATAGACTCGGAGTCTTCGAGCAGAGGCCTCAGGAGTCATCTGGGCCCACCTCCTGTGTACGTACACCCCTGTGTACCTGCGATCAGCACAGGCTAGAAAAGGAGACAAGTAGGGTGACCTGGCAGGAGCAGGGGCCTGGCCACTGGTTTATTCATTCATTTGACAAGTATCTAGAGTTCCTGCTGCGTGCTGGGCCCAGGGCTAGGTGCTCTGGAGTGGACTTGTCAACAAGGCATAGAGCCGAGGGTGGAGCAGGGAAAGCAGACTCTGGACAGGGGTGTTTTGAGCGGCCAGGGGGAGACCAAAGAGCTGGCCTGGGGTGCTGGTGAAGGCTTCCTAGAGGGGGTGAGGTCTAAGGTAAAATTTCCAGAGTCTAGATGAGGAGTTGACGTGTGACAGGTGGCCTGGGAGGTGCCTCGTGTCTGCGGTTTGGTGGGGTCGCCTCAGCCCTGTGTCTCAGCCTCAACTTTGCAGCACTGGGAATTTTGTTATTTTAGCCGTCTCCAATGGGACAGAGCTCAGTGGGACTGACTCACAATAAACAAACCTTCCAGAGACTGAGTCATACGTCAAAATGCCAGTTTGTTTTTCTGTAATGGAAGTATATTTGGCAAGCTAAGCCTCGCTGGCAGCCTACTTTAGGCCTAGAGACCCATAGTGTGAGTCTCAATGCTACATCACACCAACTAAGGAACTTGGGCAAACCTTTAATCCTCTGTGAGTCTTGGTTTCCTCATCTGAAAACAGGGATAATCATGGCTACTTAGGGTTGTGGTGAGGATTAAGTGAGCTATCGCATGTAAAAGTGCCTCATTTCTCTGTGAGAATATCTATACATGGGTTAGTGATTTCTTAAATTTGTATTTATCTTTTAATAGATGGTGAACGCACATGGTACAAAAGTCCAAAGGTACCAATGGATTCAAACTGACAAACGGGTCTCCTCCCTGCCCCCCACCCCTGCCTCAATGATCAGCTACCTAGTTCCCCTCACTGGAAGCAAAACAAATAATTATCATGACTTAACAATATTTTTAAGTCAAAAAAATTATGACTTTTTTTCAAAAAGATTTGTGTTATATTATAAAAGTAACTCATGGATTTAAAAATAATCCAGAGAGAATACAAGGGAATACAATGAATACTTTTTCTTTCTCCCAAGCCACCCAAGCTCACACCCCAGAAGTAACTATGGTCGATCGTCTTGTGTTCCTTTAAAGGATAACAATTATTGCTTGTTCCCAATGCACCTTTCAAGGGAGGGTCTGCACAGGAGAGGTTACAAATGAGAACGTGCTGGATTAGTCAGGAGGTGAGCAGAGGTGGTAGGAAGTTCTCAGGAGACATTTCTGTCAATTTAGGGCCGTGGAATGAATTGCCTTTCTCCACTCCGGGGAGATTTATCATCCATCCACCCACCCACCCACCTACCTACCCATCCATCCATACAACCCTTACCAGCTGGGCCCTCTGCTAGGTGCCGTGGGGAATACAAGGATGAATGAGTGAAGTATGCTCTCCTCTCTTGCATCATCAGTGGGACAAAAGACATAGATCCATGGATTTATACAAGTCTGAAAGGGACAGGAGTGGTACCTTAATATACCACCTGCCACCACTACCGTTTCATGAACAAGGAAACTAAGATCCAGAGAAGAAGTGTGACTTGCCTAAAATCACACAGCAAGTAAATGGCTGGGCCAGTGCTGAGAGGCAAGTCTGGCGACACAGCCCTATGTAAGATGGGAACTGATGGAGGAGAGAAGTGGGCCTGGAGTGGCAGTCCAGGAGAGAGTCTAGCTGTCCTAGAGAGGGTCAGGGCACTCCAGGCAGCCAGCAGAGCTTGAGGAAAAGTGCCAAAGCAGGGAGCTTGGCAGTGTCCAGGATTCATTCCGGCTCCCTCAGGATGTTTACAGGGGAGGACCCAGAGCAAGGCGGGGAAGGTAGGTTGGGCAGAAGTTCCTTGTCCGGCAAGAGGGGCTCATCCTTGGGAATTCAGCAGCCATGGGCCCAGACCCCTAGAGCACTGCTGCAGTGGTGTGGTGCATAGCTGCCTTCCTCAGCACAGCTGGAGAGGAATGGGCAAAGCCTGGCCTTGCTGCTTTTTGTCCTGGACCCCTCCACCTCTTACCCTCCCCTGCCCCATGACAATATCCTTCCAGTGAGGTCTGGGGAGACCCTCAGTTCTCCTTCTGACACCTCTACCAACCACACCTCCAGTTGGATGCCCTGTGCTGGGCTCTCTGCTCGTTTGTTTTGGGTTGTCTCACATCCCTCCTTCACCCTTTGCCCTCTGGGTCCAGTCAGGCCCCCAGGGGAGGCCTCACCATCCCTCCAGTTCACTAGGGTTACATGCAGAAAAAGACTCATTGTGCAATCACGTTTGCAAACTCAGCCTCTGAGCAGCCTGCATCGATCAAGGACTTAGCAGGGAAATAAATGGCCCACCTGAATCTAGATAAACGAGAAGGGTTTATTAAAGGGACTGTTTACAAAACTTTGCACAAAATGGGGAAACCACAGGGTTTCCTGTAGTTAACCACATGCAGTATCTTGGGGGACAGGGGAAGGTTACCAGAACCCTGAAGGAGAGTCATGGAGAGAGGCTGCCATGAGAGCTTGGGGACCCTCAGTCAAGGGACATAGCTAGCCCATGGCCTCCCCACAGGGAGAGAGCTGGTGGGTTAAATACCCCAACTCGCGCTCCTCCCTTCCTCTCATCTTCAGCCGGGGCTTCCTATTGGCTAAATCCAACTGGAAGTGGGAGGGTGAGGAAGCCCATTGGTGCACTTCACACCAGTCAGCCCTGGAGTGCACGGCAGGTAGGGAAAGGTGGAGGGTGGGCGTAGAGGGGCAGTTGGGAGATCGCTTGCACAGCCACCATGGCCTCCTTCATCTCTGACACCCCTGCTCTTCCTTTGTGCCCTCCCGAGTCCTACCAGGCTCTGTTTCCTGTGCATGGATCACCTATCTGTCTCACAGACAATTTCCCCTCTTCCTCCCCTCTTCTGCCTCATGACTCAGGAGCCCTCTGTGCTTCTTTCCCACGTGGCCTGCCGGTAGGACCCAAGAACTTCAGCCTTTGTCACCCCTTTCCCCTGACCACATGAGGATGGAAACATCTGGCCAGCCTTAGGCCAGTCCTCTCATGCAGTAGGGACTCGGGAAGGAGCGAGCGTGAGACCTTCTTCCGGAACAAGCTGCAGTGTGTGTGTGCAGTGGATTGAGCCCTGGTCAGCACTTCTTTGGCTCAGGCCTGACTGGATGTGCTGGCTCCCACCCAGCTGAGCCACTGGGGCTTGGCCAGATGGCAGCCAGCAAAGCTGAGGCTGGTTCTGAGCCACAGGCCTCGCTTTGGAAATCAGGCAATGAGTGGCCCATGGAGGCTGCATACCATAGGCACCTCAGGTCAGGGGTGGCATGGCCCGGCCCCCAGCTCAGCTGTGGCTCACTAAACCTAAGCCTCAGGTCTTCCTGAGGCTTACAGGGGCTGTGGGGCATCAGCTGGGCCTGAGGAAGGCTGTGTGGTACAGTGCAGAGCACAGGAGGCTGAGAGGCAGGAGACTGGGCTGTGTCCAGCTCTGCCCCCAACACAGCTGGTCTTGGAAAAATTTCTTCTCTCCTGGGCAGAACCCTTTTCCCAAAATGAGATCTCCCATAGAACTCCAGTATCTAAAACTGGTTCAAACAAAAGTGCAGCCTCAGAGCCCCCTAGCCAGTCTCCTTACCACCACTTTCTCCCCCCACCCCATCTCCAGCATCACTCCTTGGAGTATCTTTTTAAAATCTTGGGGTTGCACAGAAAATGATTTGGAAACCCTGGCCAATATACTCCCTGAGAGGTCTCAGACAGCTTTAACATGCTGTGAATCTTTAAATACATAACAATAGACAAGGACTTCCCTGGTGGTCCAGGGATTAAGGATCCGCCTGCCAATGCAGGGGACACAGGTTCGATCCCTGGTCGGGGAAGATCCCACATGCTGCGGAGCAACTAAGCCCGTGTGCCACAGTTACTGAGCCTGCGCTCTGGAGCCTGCGAGCCACCCTACTGAAGCCCGCACACCTAGAGCCCGTGCTCCGCAACAAGAGAAGCCACCGCAATGAGAAGCCCACGCACCACAACGAAGAGTAACCCCCGCTCTCTGTAACTAGAGAAAGCCTGCATGCAGCAACGAAGACCCAACGCAGCCAAAAATAAATAAAAACTAAATAAATAAATTTATATAAAAATAGACAAAATGTTACCATAACCTCCCATGTGCCCATCACCCAGATTCAATCATTAACAACTCATGGCCAGCCTTGTTTCGTCACTATCCCCACCTGCTTTCTCCCTTCCTGTATTACTTCAAAGCAAATCCCAGACATCATGTCATTTCACCTGTAACTATTTCAGTTTGTGTCCCTAAAAGATTAGGACTCATTTTAAGTATATAACCACAATGCCATTATTACACTTTAAAATATCTAATCAGAATTCATATTTCCAGTTGGTTATTTATAGGGTTTTTGTTTGTTTATAGTTTGTTAGAATCAGGGTCCAAATGAGGTCCACATATTGCAGTTGGTTGATAAGTCTCTCTTTGTCTTGTTCTATGAATTGTAAGTCGCCAGTGAAAGTCAGGGTGGTCAGTTTTTGTGGGCTTCTCTGGGGGCAGTGAAGACATTCCCAGGAAACTTGAGGGAGAATCTGTTCAGTCCTGAGCCTCTAAGGGAAGAGGCGGGAGAGAGTGAAAAGGCCAGACAGAGGTTCAGTTCTGTGGTTTCCCACCAAGAAGCTGTAACTGTCTGTTTGCAGGGGGTGGGGGGGGGCGGTGAGGTCAAACCCCAGAAGAGGGGGTGCCTCACCAGTGATGTGAAGGACCCAGAAGAATATGGATGCCTACAGAGTCTTCTGCCCTGGACGCAGGAGCCTGGGGTCTAATCCACTCGTAAAACTGACCATTAACTGAAAACATTTCCTTTAGCATCTCCTGAGACACAGGACTTTGCCAGAGGCTGAGACTGTTGGGATGAATGGGGAAAGTCTGCCCTCCAGGAACTCATAGCTCTTCAGTGAAACAGATAACATTGTATATTTAACCTCTAGACTTCAATTAGTGATATGTAAAATGGAAATCATAGCACCTTACTTATCAGACCAGCAGGTTTCTATGAGAACCCTCCGAGTTACAAATGGGATTTTATGAATAGGAAAAAGGGGACAAACTATACCTATGAAAGAGGTGGAGGGGAGGGCGGGCAGGGTGCTAACCTGGTGGTGGGACGAGGAACATTTATGAAGACCCCAGAGTCCTCTCAAGTCCTGGCTTTACCAACTACCAACTGGGTGGCCTTAAGCAGGATGCCTCCACCATTGGTGTTACCCCAGTGTCTTCCCTGGGGCCTCAGTGTTTTGGAAATGATGGAATTCAGGAAGGTAGAGTGGGAAACCCTTGCTCTCTGGTGATTCTCAGACAGAATAGAATGTCTGGGTTTGGATCATAGCCCCATGGAAAGCCAGGGTTTCTGCTGTCCATGGTACCAAACTCTTGTCTAGGTTTCAGTGCCTCAACCTCAGCACTGTGGGTGTGTTGAAAGAGATGATTCTATGCTGTGGAGGCTGTCTTGCACTTTGTAGGATGTGTAGTGGCATACCAGGCCTCTACCCACGAAATGTCAGTAGCTTTCCCTCAGTTGTGAAACCAAAAATGTCTCTAGTCTTTGCCAAACATCCTATGGGAGACAGAAGCACTCCCAGCTGAGAACCACTGGTCTAGGCTAAAGGGATGCTACTTCTCTGTAAAGATATGTGAGTGTGTGCCCTTCCTTTCGACTCCACACTTCTGACTGGTGCCTCTGATCTGTTTTCACCTCCAGAATGTTCCCAGGGTGTCAACACTTCTTATTTCAGTGCACCTTTCAAAAGTTCTTTTGTGGGGGGAGGGAGATGCAAGAGGGAAGAGATATGGGAACATGTGTATATGTGTAGCTGATTCACTTTGTTATAAAGCAGAAACTAACACACCATTGTGGAGCAATTATACCCCAATAAAGATGTTAAAAAAAAAAAAAAAAGTTCTTTTAGGGACTTCCCTGGCAGTCCAGAGGTTAAGACTTTGCCTTCCAAAGCAGGGGTGTGGGTTTGATCCTTGGTCCGGGAGCTAAGATCCCACATGCCTCAGGGCCAAAAAACCAAAAAACATAAATAATATTGTAACAAATTCAATAAAGACTTTAAAAATGGTCCACATAAAAAAAATCTTAAAAAACATTCTTTTAAAGACAAACAACTTCAATGGCCCTCTTGGCCACACTTAATGCATGCAAAAATATGGTAATTGTGGCCAAGGTAAGCACATTTGCCCTTGATTGATACAGACTCAGTCTTGGGAGGAGGAGTGGGTAGGTCACCTGATGAGCCTCTGTGACCTAGCGGCCCACCTAGCAGACAGCGTCTGCGGTCAGGCTGTGTCGTGTAGTGTAGCTTGCCTTTGCTCCTCCCTTTTGTCTGTCCACTGGGGGAAGACTGGTCCTAGAACGTTGTTTTTCTGGAGCCAGGGCCTCCTCTAGGTGATATCACAGCTCCCTGCGGGTCTAGGCTCAGGTCACCCCTCCACAGTACACTGGGAAATACCTGAACAGGAGCTGAGGTCATGGGGCTGGAATCCTGCCGTGTGACCCCGGGCAAGCTATCAACCTCTGAACTCATCCGTAAAGTGAGGCTATTAATACCTCCTCCGCAGGGTTGTTACAAGGATTAAATGAGAAAATGTTTGTGAAAGAGCTGTGTGGCACAAACTGCCCCACACATCCTAATTCGTATTGTTATTATCTGTTGTTCTAAAAGAGAGAATGAATAATATCACCCAGTCACTGCACCCCCATCACCTGTCCCCATCAGACCAGTCTCCTCCCCTGTTCCATACCTGTGCCTCTGGCTGTATCTCTGACGGACGCTCCTCCCTTGAAGGTCTCCTTCTCTCTTCATCTGTCCACATCCACTTCCTTCAATATCCAACTCCTGGGACTTCCCTGGCAGTCCAGTGGTTAGGACTCCAAACTTCCACTGCAGGGAGTTGCGAGTTCGATCCCTGGTCCGGGAACTAAGATCCCACAAGCCTTGTGGTATGGCAAGTGCTGGATAGATCTAGGTGGATGAAGATCAGGAGGATGACAATAATTTATAAGATTTTAATAATAAAAACAGCTAAGACTTTTGAAGCACTCGCTCTGCGCCAGGCACCACACTAAGCACTTTACATGGATTAGCTCATTTACTGAGTGCCAGCAGCCTACATGGAATTGAACATCTGCCTCTCTGCTTCCAGACCCCAGCACCATATCACTTCCCCATCGGCCCCGAGCAGAGTTAATATGTCTCCCTCCATGCTCACGATGCCTGGTTTATTACTGACCTAATTTCACTAGCTTTCAATTATTCATTAGAGTGGCTGTCTCCCCTTCCAGTCTGAACATCTTGAGGGCTAAGGCCCTGTTTATATTAATCTTTATTAGCTTCGGCGTCCAGTGGTGACTGGCATATAGTTGCTGCTCATTAAATGTTTGTTGGATGAAGACACAGATGAATTGAGTAATTAACACCATCTCCCACGATGTTCATGCGATTTTATAAGCTTCTCCCTCCGTGAGGCCATTTTCAGAAGCATTCTAGTGCTATCCAAGCATGATCTGCCTGCAAACTATTTGTTGCCAGTTGTAACAAGGTAGGTGCAGAAATAGAATTTAAGCAATTTTAGAGTAGTTTTAGGTTCATTGGATCTAATAATTTTAAAAATTGAGCTTTTCTTTTGTATGTCTTTATTCTTTTTCTTGCTTTTGCTTGATTTAATTTTTAAGTCATGAGATCAGAAATTGTAAAAATTACAGTTACTGAGCTCTTATGTTCTGAATATTAGGCTTGTATGTCTTTATTTTTATTTTCTAATAATTCATTCCCACTATATTTTGCAATGGTATCATTCTGCAACAGATTAGAAATTTAAAAATCAAGAACTGGTTCTTCATCACAAGTGGTCTGAGAAATACAGTTCCAGACCATCGACCTCACTGGGATGCCCATGGTTAAGCCAATGGCAGAGGGGACATACTCAGCCCTCTCTCGCTGGGTCCCACCCATCACAACTTATTCTCATATCTGTTTCTCCTACTGTTTGGAAGGGCGTGGCATTGTCTTTTAATCCTGTTTGGATTCCTCATTATTTCTCTTTTCTTCCAAATCTGGCAGATTCAATGGATGAAAGCTGACTCTGGTCTGGGCTTGGACAGGAAAAGGAGAGGGCAAGGGAGGGGTCCGAAGAGAGTTTGGGAAGGGTCTGGCTGGGATGGAGCAGAAGGTGGTCCTGAGGAGGGTTGGAGAGGTTGCTAAGGAGACCGTCCTGAGCCATCAGGGCTGGTTGGCTGGAGCGGCTGGGGTTGATGGGGGGGAAGGGCAGCGAAGGCACCTGAAGGTGGAAGGAAGCAATTTCAGGACAAATGAAAGGGGACGTGGAATTCTTTTACAGAAGGAGTGTTAAACCTGAGGCTTTCATAAACCCCCTGAGGTGGTCAAGGCCAAAACTATAAATAAGTAGGTCATGGAGTGATACAGGAGGCCCCCTTCTCCTACCCAGGGGTGGGGGCAGTGTGGAGGTTAAGTCAGTGAAATCAACACAATCAACTGGATGGGGAGAGAAAGGGGGATGAAATGTGCCATCCGTAGATGTCCTTTTAGAGAGAGAAGGTCTGAATCCCAGGCCAAAAAGGCCGGAAGAGCAAGACTTGATTACAGCCTGATCGATGGCATTAGCATATTTAAAGATCACCTCAAGGAGAGAACAAAGGGGCTCCGAAAGGGGAAATGGTGTTTATTAAGCAGAGAGAAACAGAATCTGGAAATCTGGAGCTGTCTGGTCCTTGGAGAGCCAGCTCCAAGGTCGAGCAGGGATGGGGAGAAAGGGCTCTGCGGGGCCTGGGCAAACTTCCCTTAGGACCTGCCAGCTTCTTCTCCTCTGATTCCACAGTCCATCGCTGCTGTGACCTTCTAATCGAGAATTCAGCTTTCCATAAAGAACTGCCTAGAGGGAGGGACCACTCTGCGCATTTGAGCATCTGGTCCATTCGGTGATGGTTATGATGATGGTGGTGGTGGTGATTACAGCTAGCCTTCACTAAGCCCTTGCTACGTGCCAGGCACTGTTCCAAGCCATTTACAAACATTAACTTGTTTAAATCACCCAACCTGTGAGGTAGGTAGTCCTACCTCCATTTTTTGTTTGTTTTTTTTTGCGGTACGCGGGCCTCTCACTGCTGTGGCCTCTCCCGCTGCAGAGCACAGGCTCCGGACGCGCAGGCCCAACGGCCATGGCTCACGGGCCCAGCAGCTCCGCGGCACGTGGGATCCTCCCGGACCGGGGCACGAACTCGCGTCCCCTGCATCGGCAGGCAGACGCTCAACCACTTTGCCACCAGGGAAGCCCCTACCTCCATTTTATAGATGAGAAATTTGAGGCAGTGTTAAATAATTTCCCAGGTTTATACAGCTTGTAAGCGGAACAGCCTAGACTCAAACTCAGGCCAACTCCAGAACCTGCACTATACCGGACTATCCTGCATTTAAGTTTTGCTGAAAACAATTAATTGGCAATCTGGTTGGTGCATCCATCTCTTTGGGATTGGTTGGGATGAGTCTGTGCCAAGATCAGCACGGCCAGCTCTGGGGCACTAACCAAATGCGGTTTTTTTTAAAGACTCCGGACTGTGTACTTCATTTAGAAAGTGCTACCCAGTGTGGCTAAGCCAGTGTGACCAGCTGGTTTCCTGGGCACGGCCCCTCCCCCACTTCAGAGCCCCAAACCCCATCAGGGTCCAGCCCTCCGGGCACTTTGAGCTGAGAATCAGGAGGTTGCGGACTAGGCTTACCTGTTACGCCACTTTGGGCCGGTCACCACCTGTCTGTGCGCCCCAGCTTCCTCGCAAGACCTCTTAACAAAAACTCCCTGTCTAAATGAAGAATCAGTTGGACCCATGAATGTGCTGGCTTTTGCTCAGTGTGCTGAGAAGTGGGTGGAAGGAAGAAGGCCGAAGGTGGAAGGTGGGCGCGGCAGGGCGCAGAATCCAGGGCGGTTAGGTTCAGAGTTGGCTTGCAAAGCCGGCTGACCACCACTCCGGGAGCGTGCTCCGCCCGGAGCGCTCCCGCTTCCTCGGGAGGGTCTGCGGTTGCCGCTGCAGGCCCAGGCTCAGTGGGGTAGAGTCACTTCTCTACCTCCCCCTTCGGCTCTGGCGGAAGGAAGGAAGAGATAGAAGTCAAAAGTTTTGTCTGCCTGGAAGAGCTGGAGGGGAAAGTGTAAGGAGCTGGGAGAGGCGGGAGCGGCTTCCCAGTGCTGGGGGCGGGATGAGGGGCTGGATGGAGGCCAGGAGGCCTGGCGGGCCGGCTGACCCTACCCTGAGGGCTAGGCCGAGAGGGGGCGCTGTGACCTCCTCCTCGCCCAGCCCGTTGGATTCCTAGCTGCTGTCCCTTTCGTAGCGCAATACGCGCTCGACTTTCCCCCTCCGCGGCGTTCAGAGGCCGGCTAGTCCTGCAGGGCACCGCCATCTCCCCTGCTCTTGGGGTTCCCAGGTTAAGCTCCTTGCCGGGACCAAACTGGTTTGGCAGGCGCTTAGTTTGTACAATAAATGAAGGATGAACGAACGAATGAAAGAAAATGAATGAATGAATGAATGAATGAGAAGGGTTCCCCCCTCAGAGCTTTCGCGCCTCAGCGCGCACCTGGCGTGCCAGTTTCAAAGGCGCGGGGGGTCTGGACCAACACCTCGGCCCTGCTGAGGTGGGGGCGGGGGGACCCTCCGGCCCGCCGCAGGGCGGGAACTGCCCGAACGCAGTTCCCAGCTTCACCAGCTTTCCGCGGCGCCTCTGCTCAGTCCGGGCTGCCCTATTCCCCAGCCTCCAAGAGCCTCGCTCTTAGAGATTCACCTGAGCCCCCCAAGTCCCCTCAGACTCCCTCGGACTCCCCAGGCCCCAGCCTGAAATCCGGCGGAGGGCGGGAAGCTGCCTCCTCTCCCGCCCCCGGCCCCCCACCCCCCAGCTTCTCCCCGGGCTGCGGCGGCCGCCAGCGCTGCCAGCGCGCCCAGCCGACTGCCGCAAACCCGGGCTCGGGGAAAAGGGGGTCAGCGCCGCGAGGGCGCGGGGAGCCAGCCCCGGGAAGGAGAGGGGACAGAGGAGGCGGGGCGAGGGAGGGAGCAGAGGGGCGAGGCGCGGAGGCGGGACCGGAGGGGAGGGGAGAGGAGCGGAGGGGAGGGGACGCCCAGGCGAAGGGGCGGGGAGCCGAGGCGACTAGCGGCGCGGACCGCGGGGGAGGCGGCGGGGGCTAGGCGGGCTCCCGGCGGGCGAGAGGCAGCTGCGGGCCGGGCTGAGTCAGAAAGCGGCGGCCGGACTCGCCCGGGAAGGGGAGAGCGAGAGCCCGGCGGGCCGGGCTGCGGGGCCGGGGAGCGCGGAGCCGGGCGCCTCAGCCACCCGCGGCGACACAGGAGCCTGGCCGCCCACCCACGCAGCCCGAGCCCTCACCCGCCGGCCGGCCCCTCTGGGATGCCCGAGGGACCCAGGCATCCAGGACGGTGACAGAGCGAGCCCGAGGATGGGACGGCGCTTGCAGCTCCGGCTTGTCAAGGTAAGAGCGAGCCGGTCAGCCCTCGAGCACTGCGGGCCCGCAGCTCTGGGCGCGCAGGGCTAGGTGGGCTATGGGTGTGATGCGGAAAACTAGGTGTCACTGAGCAGAACTGTGCCCAGGTCCGGGGGCGGCCGGGGTTTGAGGAGCAGCCCAAATCCCTGCCTCTAGACCTTTGGAGCCGGCATTGGGCGGGGGGAGGAGGGGGACGACACTGGCGAAAAAAGAAATCTTTGTGGCGAAGCTGCCGGGAGGTGGGCGTGGGGTGGGGGGGTGTCAGCCCGCCCCCCGGGTAACCAGCTCAGTGAGGGGAATCGCTCTAGGCTGTGGGAACCGACGCAGGGTTCCCCCTCCCACCCTCCCGGGTAGACTGGGGTCCCGAGACAGGAGGCCCGGCAGAGGGGTTCCCCATCCGCCCCAGCACCGTCTCATCAGGTCCCCCACTCCGCACGCCTCCGCCCTGTCCCTGGGAGCTCCTTCCTGCCCCTGCAAGTCCGGGGAGATAAATGTCCCCGGTGCCTGCGAGCCCTGGATCAATATCGCAATCTCCGGGGAGCAGACCGAGCATCCGGCGGTAGTTACCGTTCCGCCGCCGCCGCCGGCTCGCCCGCAGGAGCACGACGCTGGCTCTCCGAGCCTTTGCACTAGCGGGTCGGTCCCCGCGCCTGCTCGCTCCTGCCCGGGCTCTGGCGACGCGATTCCTGCGTCCGGAGTTTAGGAAAGTCGTCAGACCGCACGTCCAGAGTCTGTCCGCTGAAGTTCTGGGGCGGCGGGGCCTGCCCCGGGGCCCGGGGAAGGGCTGGGGCGTCGACACCCGGGCCCGCCGCTAGTGACAGCTGCCACTTCCTGGTGCCGGGCGATTCCCAAAGCGGTTCGGCTTGCGGGGTGTAGGCAAGGAGGCGGCAGAGGAGGGAGGGGTGGGTGGGCCTCGGCGCCGCCGCGGGGGACCCCAGCACGGCTCTTGCCTGAGGATCCGGACTCCGCAGGGTCAGTGGGGACCAGAGCACAGACACCAGCTTGACTGGATTCAGCGCTTTTACAAGCTATTAACTTCAAAAGAACTGAACGGATTGGGGGGAGGGGTGCGGATTGACTGAATTTCATTTTTCCGTCAGTTATTAAACCAACTATACGTACATCAGCACACAGAGTGGTTTGAGTTAAACCAAGATTTAAAACTGCAAAAGCAGCCGGCTCGTCAGTTGAGACATCACTAGTTACCGAGGCTTTCTCCATTCTCTCCCTCCCTCTCCCGAATATATATGAGTTGGTTTTTAAAAATGACTAAGGGTTGGTCTGATTGAACCCATAGCCCCTCCCCCACTCCTAAACTGAGGACTGGGGGTGAACCCAGAGATTATTTTCTGGGTGATGAAGGAGACCCGGGGAGGGAGAGAGGAGGAGAGACATCCAGAGAGCTTGACTAGATGGCACTGAGCGGGTATATTTTCCAAAAGGCTAGAGTGTAGCAAACCTGGGTCTAAATTCACCAATCAGTTAGACCAAATTCAGCGTTTTAAATGGACTCAAAGGATTGAACTGTAGGTTTTTGTTTTGGAGTTTACATGGTAATAGGTAAATGTTCTTTCTCTGACCTTTCTTAGAATCATGTGCAAATTTCTCTTAGAATTATGATGCTCTTCTAAAAGGAAAAACAGTTGTTTTTTTTTTCTGTTGCTGTGTTTCCTGCTAGGTGGTGAGATGTGTGCCCTTTATGTCTGGCCTAATGAACTCAGTAGGTGCTCAGTAAATGCATACTGAATGAGTGAGAGGCAGTGAATGAATGCGCAGCTAATGCGGTTTCAATTAAATAATTGCTTTTTCTTTTATTCATGTGGCATATACAGCTTGTTGGGTAGTGTTCTACCTGCCTTGCAAATATTAAGTCACTTAGTCCTCATAACAGTCCTGGGAAGTAGGAATTATTACTGAGGCACAGAGAGGCTAAGGAACTTGTCCCTCACTGATACAGCCAGTGAGTGGTGGAGCCAGAATTCAGAGTCAGGTAGTGTGGCTCGAAGGCTTTGCTTTGTTAGCTTTTATCAGAAAATCTTTTAAGCCACTAAAATCTCATCCTAGACTTCTGCCAGATGAGAGAGAGCGCAGGCGGTTTTGTTGGTATCAAAGTCTGAATCTAGGTGGGGTTCATCCAAAATCCGGTGCTGTCCTCAACAACTCAGCCAGTGTTGGGAAAGGATCCACTCTGGGGCCCTTACCATGGGCCTCACACTGTACTGGTTACAGAGAACTGGGGGAGAGTGTGTGTGAATGTGTATGAGTGAGAATGTGTGTGTGCATGGGAGGGTGGTTGTGTATGTCAGTGAGGGAGAAATGATGTGTGTGTGAGTGTGCGTGGAGGCCAAGGAGACAGGTGAAATATTGTCTCTGCCCCCACGGGAGGGCCAGGGACCGACCACCTCCGAGTCACCTACCCACCAGCCACAGCTCCTCGCAGGGAGACCCAAGTGTGGCTCAGAGTGGTGGGTTTGGCTGAGTGTGAAGAGCGGAGAAGGCAAGTCCTGGTGGGCTACTAAAGGAAAGTGAGTTCTGCAAAGAGAGAGCTGGTTTTATTGCTTTTGTCATAAAAGCAATCTAGCAGTATTACACAAAGTTTGAAAACCAGAGGGGGAAATTATTACAGTCTCACCCTCCTAACACAGCTATTGTTGCCATTTAAAAAATAATCCCTGGGCTTCCCTGGTGGCGCAGTGGTTGAGAGTCCGCCTGCCGATGCAGGGGACACGGGTTCGTGCCCCGGTCTGGGAGGATCCCACATGCCGCGGAGCAGCTGGGCCTGTGAGCCATGGCCGCTGAGCCTGCGAATCCGGAGCCTGTGTTTTGCAACGGGAGAGGCCACAACAGTGAGAGGC